CTTGGACAAATGCAAAAAAGCGATCTGCCCCGGAACCGATCCTACGACGTCTCGCCTAAGAAACCCGCTCCCTACCCGTTGCGCTCTGCTACCACGTTTCAGCACGACTCCATACATAAATGTAAAGACGCTTCCACGTTTCCTCGCGATAGCATGTGAAACGACCACGCGGGGATAAAACCCTCCATAACTCCGTTCAGAGAATCGTTCCGCAAATTCTGAAGGTAGATTTGAGTTCACTGTCCCAAGACGCGTACAACGGTGTGCAGCTCATTGGAAATGGCCAGGCTGACCTGTTGACCTTTCCTGGTCAGTCGCTACGAACGCTGAATCGATACCTATACTTCTCTAGTCGCTAAAAGCGATCGAAACGCTGTCGCTAATGGTAAGTATGAACGCACTCTTAACTATCCTCTTTGTTGAGTTATCGAAGCCGGAATAAATGCGATTAAGTCTGCCTCGGCAAGTGTATCGTCTACGCTTGATTCCCTACTTGGTGATGGTGCAAAAGATACCACGGAGCAACATCTGAGCCATTTTTATGATGTTAACTGCAGTATTTGCTTGGCAAAACAGAAATCACAGGCCGAACAAGAACGAAAGGAGAGAGAAGAGAAAGAGAGGCAACGATTGGAGGAAAAGAGGTTCAGACAGGTAATTGTGCTTCGAGCTTCCCTTTCGTGGAAGTTCAATGTAGAGTGCATGTGTGACCTTGAGGTGGCGACGTGTCCGCGTACGTACGTTTTGGCGCGGCGCCGATTTCTTCCCATCAAAGGCTTCCCGCCAAACAGTGCCCAATAGTGGTGCAAGCGGGCTGGTGCCTCGCCTGAGGCGCACGTAAGCGGGAACGCCTCCCAGTGACGTACCAACAGCAGCAACTGTGCGTGATCTCATTTTTTTTTCTCATACAGATGCTCCCTGTGGAAAAGTGCCTCGCATACACAAGACATGAACCGCTGACTCTGCTTGATTCTGATTATAGAAATGCAATCAAGAAACCATCATACGAGGAAGAGGTATATGTTATTCTGGCAGTTCTCAGCTGATATGGTCTGGATTTCTCAAGAACAAGCTCGTTGAACGGAAATCTTCCAGGTCAAACGGATACAAAGCCCAGAGAGTACGGGTGCAGCTTGTGCGTCGGATGAGGAATACGCTGGTTCATACGATGGTGGCCCCGGTGGAGATTCACCGATTTTCCAAGATTCCTACGATGTAGTCAACGTGGAGCCTCGGTATGTTCTGTACTATCTAGCACCTCTCTATTTTCAGTTTCTAATGACAGTTGAAGACCCCCTTTACGATTACCTGCAAGTGAAACCTTGCCATCTGCGGAATGAGTAGATCGGTTGTTGTAGAAAAAATGGCCAGGCCACAGACACACGCGGTCAGCGATACACCTGACCATAGCCAGAGGCGCTACTTTTGAACGTTCTTTCGAATAATGCGGGGGGGGGGGG